GCCCCCCCCCCCCCAATTACGACCTGGTGGAAACGCCCCCCCTTTTTTTGTTTCATGTTGTTTTGTTGTGTGGGTTTCTAGTCGCCCCTGCAACGCACCCTGAGAGATCTGCAGCCCCGCGTTCCAAATGTTGCCTCGGATTTCTCCTTAGAAATACTTTGTGGAAGTATGTTTCAATTCTTCAAGTATAGAACCTTAAGCACGCCACAATTTTACAACATTTGGACAACCTTTTTTGATATTTTCGAACTTTTTCGGCGGGAAATTCAAATTTCCGAAATTTGAATTTCACCCGCGAATTTGGACTTAGAATTTTTTGTAGATAGTGGACTTGTAAAATTTCACGGTTGTTTCCCGCCAGACTGGACTTAGAAAATTTTTCAAGCACATCTGGACTTAGAGGAATTTCCTATGATACACGGGTAATGTCAGTGGAGATACAATTTGGTGCAAAAAACTAAACTTATTGTAAATCGTATTTCGTCATACAAAGTGAAATTGTTACGATGGGGATAAGGGAAGTCTAGCCCTGGCATCCCTCCCGAAAATAACTGTTAGTTGCGCTGTTTTAACCGAAAGACTGATTTTTGGAGACTTTAACGCATCGCATGCGGGAATTTACATTAAATACGGAGACTTAAACGCGCGGAGAGAAAGAAGAGCGTGGCAGAAAGTGAGTGCAGAGTGCGGGTGTAAACTATGAGAGGAAGCAGGGGGGGCAACCCTCAACCCCCCCAACCACCCCACCCCTACCCACCCACTCCTCACCCTGCAGACGAAACAATATATAGAAGTTGCAGCGAACGGCGAAAATGCGACGTTGTATCATAGTTTCGACGCCGGAAACGACACCACATCGGTCAACGCGGCAAACTTCATTATAGGAATAGGCGGTTGTCGAAATTTCGCCAATTCGACGATGGTACAACCACCTGCGGTGATGGATAACACACGTAGCCTCCGCGAGGACGCCCGAAATGGATTCCGTAACGCTGTAATAGGGCCGATTTTATCTCTCAGTGTCAGGACGGCGCTAGCACCGGTGTCAGGTAACACCCGTTTTTGCTTGACACGGCCGCTGACACCAAGACCGATTTTAACTCCCCGATTTCTGCCTGTGTCACCGGACACGCTCTTGACACCCTGTTGAATGGTGGGTCTCGATGACTACCGCCGCGCGCTACAGACTTTCCTGCTAACATCCGAGATTTCGCTCGAAATTCGCGTCTGTTCACGCGGTTCACGCTGCTCACGTCGTTACCACCGTGTTTATTTTCGTTGGATTTGAGGTTAAGTCGTGCTCCTGCTGTCTCGTGTTGTTGTCGTGCTTGTTATTTCAGTGAAAATTTGGTATTGTTAAAATAATTTTGGTAATTAAAATTGTAATTATGGTTAATAAACCCTCAGTAATTAGACAAAAAAAAGCTGGCGGGCCTCAGAGACGAGCAAAACCCTATACGGCCATGCAAATGGAATATCTCACTGAGGCCATTAGAAAGAGACAAAAAGTTATTGAGTGTAAAAAAACAGACACTGTTGTGAATGCGGAAAAGACGGTTGCATGGCAAGATGTGACCAATGAGTTCAACGCCCACCTCACCCCTGAAGATGGACCACGGACCCTTGTTCAGCTGAAAGGCAAGTGGAAGCAAATGAAACGTGATGTCGGGAAAGTCATACGACGAGTCTACGAGGATCTCGCTCCCGCAGGCGGACTGCGTTCCTGAAGTCACAACGGGACGCGAGAGAAGAAGTTTGTGGGTTGCTCGGGACAGCTGGTCTGCTATTTGGAGGATCAGGGCGCCCGCGACAGGGATTCCGATGTCACTCAGAGTGGATGCAGAGATCGAGGCAAGGAAAGCAGGAGAGATTAAGCCGAAAGGCTTATATTTCGTAAGGATAAAGATCAAAAAAGGTCTTACTTACATGGAAGACTTACGGACTATGCGCCCTTGGTTGAAACTACTCAGACCTAAAGAGTATGGCCGGCTGAAGAAGGAAGGAGAATTAAAGCTGGAGAACGAGGAAAGGGGACTGATGGAGCTTGCTGTGAGTCTGACAAAAGCTGAGTTCATTCTCTGGTTCAAACTGAGACAGATAATGCCAACAAAGCTGGACCACACCCTATCACCTGCGGCGTCTGTAGCCAGCCTTTTGGACATTACAGAGGATGAGCTGGAGAGGCTGGCAGAGGAGCGACAACAGCGAAAAGCGGAGGTGCCCCCAACGGTCGGACAACAGCGAAAAGCGGAGGTGCCCCCAACGGTCGGACAACAGCTGCCACCTTCCTATGGAGAGGCGGTTACGGGTGCGCCTAAACTCTACCCTGATTTAAGCATGGTTGACGACACTGCGGAAATGGAACACCAGGGGAACCAAAACGGCGAATCAGCCAAAAATAATAGTGCACCTACAGTGCCCTATCCTGCGGCGGCTCCTCGAACAAGTTTGGCAAGAAGGACACTCTCTGGACTGAGGGTTATATACCCTAACGCAGAAGACTACTCCACTTTGGGGAAGCAGGCCACCCCGGAAATCGTTAGGACCCCCGCCACTCCCCCGGAGAGGAAAGTGGAGACTTTCCACCCCGCTGGGGCGGATCTCAGGAGGTCTCTGGTATTGGAAGGAACGGAACTTTATCTCGCGGTTGACGACGTTGGGGACGCGACACGGCTCTGGATGCCCTTGTCTTCGGTGTCCAAGCTGATGAGTCAGCGTTACGGCCTCGATGGGAGTGCACCGGAGAGATTAATAGTTGAGCTAGCAAAGAGGGGTTTTGCATACGACTATTCCAACGTAGATAATGCAAGAACAGCCTTAAAGCACATAATTTTAATACGGAAAAACAAAAAAAACAGTCTGAGCACGTTATATCCTCTACTGAACTCCCGACAATACAGGAATCGTCGACAAGCTCAGCAACATCGGCAAAAGCACCCGGAACCCACCGATGTTCGTATTGGCACCGCCTGTCCTTGCTGCTATCGCGCTCACCTTTAAGGAGTCGTCAACTACGATTTTTAGAACTTCTGATCGCTGACTTATGTCTTATTGTTAGTGTTTAATGAATATAATTGCAGTGTAAATAATTATCGACCAAAGAGGAGCTTCTCCGAACCCCCTCCCCTCACCCACTTGTAATGTTTTAAGTTGCCTCTTGCAACACGAGCCCTTCTTCCCTAACCAGCATTGCCCTCTCAGCCCTTCCCCAGGGTTTCGCGATCAAGCCAGCCCCCCATCGGTCCCCCGCCAGTATACAACTGAATAATTCTTTTATTCGAGTGATTTTGCTATTTACTGCCATTAAGACTCAGGAGGATAATGGTGCCTCCCCTCAGAGTCCAGGAGTGCGCGACCCCTTCCGAGGCCGACGGCCACTGGCTGCAGCGCCCTATCTGGGCTTCCTGCACTCACGCACTCCAGTGTACAATTGAATAATTCTTTTATTCGAGTGATTTTGCTATTTACTGCCATTAAGACTCAGGAGGATAATGGTGCCTCCCCTCAGAGTCCAGGAGTGCGCGACCCCTTCCGAGGCCGACGGCCACTGGCTGCAGCAGCGCCCTATCTGGGCTTCCTGCACTCACGCACTCCAGTATACAATTGAATAATTCTTTTATTCGAGTGATTTTGCTATTTACTGCCATTAAGACTTACGAGGGTAATGGTGCCTCCCTGCAGTGTTCCGGAGTGCGCGCCTCCTTCCGAGGCCGACAGCCACTAGCTGCAGCGCCCTTTCTGGGCTTCCTGCACCCACGGGTCATAGATAATACATTTTTCCATACAACTTGGCAACACCGCACTACACTTAAGGATAATATTTCTAAGAATTATTCCGCTGCCCCTTGTACACCTTTGTTTATTTACTCATTTTTCCTGAATGGTCCGAAGTTGAATCATTCACTTTGTTGTGTTATAATAAAAGTTCTATAATTTGCCGTATCAGTTTCAAATAATTATTTACTGAACTTTAACTCACGCGCTTCAGTGTACAATTGAATAATTCTTTTATTCGAGTGATTTTGGTATTTACTGGCATTAAGACTCAGAGAAATCACTGCAATTTCAATTGCAACATTCTGTAATTGTGAATTAAAAGTTGAAGAATTTTTTAATTCGAGTGACTTCAGCCTCTACAGGAGAGTGACTCCTGGATGCAGTAAAATATTTCCACACACCATGACGAACAACTGGGACGTAAATGACTGAAATTTGACATAGTAAGTTGCAGAATTATCACCTAGCCAAATCGCGGCGATAGATATTTAAAGGTGTATTATCGCTATGATGCTAACATGAGAGAATTCAACAGATACCCTCAAAGAAGATGCAGGAAAATTAATTGTTAATATATACCTAGACATTAGATCGCACATTAGATTACAACCTTTTCCGGAAAGCTTTTGACAAAGTTCTTCTGTTGTGACTCTGGACAAACAGCTTTCTCAAAACAGAATCAGCTTCAACAATATCAAGGAATTTCAAATTATAATTAAAAATAAAAGAGGGCACCTTGAAGCAAATTCAAAAGCTCAAGGCTTCCCAATGTGTAAATACTATTACTTTATTCTTCTTGTACTCATTACCCTCACCTTTCAGATAAAGAAAACATATTTTTTACTGTATGTTTATGTTATGTCAAATGGAATGTGTTTATACCAGCCCCTTTTGGCGTCAATGGTATACAATATTATACAATTTGAAATGCATCTTTTAAATGTTTATTTCCTGATAAATTTGGCAATTCGGAATGGCTGCCGAAATTACGCCTTGTAAGGTTAGTGGGCTGCTCGGTGAAGCCCACTAACCTAACATGGTGCCGAAACACACCTAGACTTCAAGAAGTTCAAGACTCATAACTCGATCTCTGCAGCTCCAGGTCCACGAACCAGCATTCTGGACAATTTTCGGTGACGAGAACTAAGAACTCAGCAGATTCAAAGAAGAAAGAAGATTCGACCATCTGGCAATTCGGAATGGCTGCCGAAATTACGCCTCGTGTCGTGAAGTGATCATTTTTAATTTTCAATGTTTTTATAGTCATTGATTATTCCTTACTTTTGTCAATACCTCTGCAATCTTGGAAAAATGATGCTGTTGATGGTAGCGGCCGTAGTTTTACGCAAAAAACAAAAAAGAGAAGGCAACACAGGCGTTTTTAAGTACATCCCATCTATCAAAACCGGCGTGCACGAGGAGATTACAACAATTTGTGTAAAGAAATTTGGAGTGCCAAGAATGAGCAGTTGTTCTTCAAGTATACAAGGATGTCATTTGCTATTTTCGATCATTTGCTTCGCCTACTGAAGCCACATCTCACTTAAAGAAGTTTTTGCACGCTACTTAATACAAGCGATCAGCAGGGTAAATTTTCAACACTCCCTGAATGCTTTCGCAGACGGATGCAATGAAATGAGCAATTGATAAATATTCCTATTTTATTCTTATGTATTCCACCTTTGTTCTTGTAGAATGAAACCTTGAAATTGTTCACTTGATTTCATCATCATTCACTTACATTGTAGTTGATTTTATAGAAGCCCACTTAACGTGTCTTTCCTACTTTTATATATATGAACATGAAATGATAGAGAATACTAATAATAACATCTAAATATAATAATATCTTGAGAATTGTAAGATCTTGTCTCTATCACTGTATTTTTAATTGTATGTAGGTAAAATGAGTTCAGAATCAAATAAAGAAAGTGACTTTCCACCTAATGTTAGTTCTTTGAGGAACAATGCATTGCTTCCTACCCCTAAAGTATCGAGCATTTAGATTTGAGTGAGGAACTCAAAAATTGTAATATGGAACTTTTATCCATTCCGGTGGCCTCAAAGGAGCCAGCACTAGGGCTGATAAATGATGATAATTTATTAGAAATGAAACCTTAAAAACAACTGGGGGAAGAAAATAGTCAAAAAAAGAGGAAAATATATGAATCACATCTGATCACAGAATTCTGCTTCTTAAAAAATACCCCCCTCCCAAACAAATTTTGGCACTTAGTAAGTAAAGAAGGCAATTATTAAAGGCAATTACCATCGAAATCATATTCACTTGATAAAAAACCGTTAACAGTATTATTTATATCATTGATGAAAAATTCTGGTGGGTTGTTCAATTCAGAATAAAAAGGCAACTCTACCAATTCATCACAATCGATGAACAATAAGAGCACTTCTTTGATTTTGACGAGATCATAAAGCATGTGCTCTCTGCCGAACTTCCACGTTTGAAACGAAGAGAGGAGTTCATTTTGATTCAAATGTTCAATTCTCTTGGTTCCAACATAAAATAAAAAACGGTAAAATTCTTCGTAGTTCATACCAAAGGTAGATTTTAACATTAGCTGACAATGTTCAAACCAGTCATCCATGTCTTGGCAATCACTAACCTCCTTTTTCACTGCTTCCAGATTAGCTTTTAAGGACGTCCATACCTGATGGATGTTGCATGCATTGATCCAGTTATGATTGATGGAAATTGTGTCATCCTGCACATGAAGAAAAGTTTGGATTCACAAAATTGGAAGGTGTAAAAACACAGGGTATAAATGGTTTAAAAATTTTTGAAATATAATTGTACCTCCTCGCCTTCCAGCTAAGTATCACAAGCATTATTTACACTACATGCTACGTTGCGTGACATCTTGATATTGTTTTTTACTTCTTTACATACTGCAGTGCATACTTTTATGACAATGTCAGGGATTAATCTCTTTGACAAAAGAAATATTAGATAAAATTTCAAATAGATCCAATTCGTTAATTTCTCCTTAAAAAGTTGAGCAACTTTGAGAACTTAGCCGACATACTGCTCCACGACTAACAGCGTTTGTGGTACTTGGGCTGAAAGGTGACAACCTGTTTTTGAGAGAAATGAAATTGAAAATTGATAAAATGTAAATTTAGAGGTTCAGTGAACTAGAAGGCTACACAACGAATCATATCAGACACCAACAGATAGCTTTCCCCCAATATTAACTCGCTAAACACTTAGAGAAAGCAGTGTTGGTCACACAATTATCAATTCCAGGCAAAATGCCTTGGTCTAATACAATTTGCAAACTTTCCATACTGGTGTATGAAAAGTGACCAAAATAACTTCCGTATCATTTCTATTTTTGTTTCAAGATTTAAATAAAAACTAGTATTTGTCCCTTTTTATTTCTTTCCCTCTTTCAAGGTAAGACTTCAGGCAACAATTGTTGTTCTGTGAAAAGGTACCTTATCTTCTGGAAGGGCATTCTCCTTACATTTTTACAAATGAATAGAGGAAGAAGATCTGGAAATTTGGTGCAAATTTGACCCAGAAATCTCAAAAATTGAAGGATACATAAGTCTTTAAGTTCCAAGACAAAAGTTTTTAGGTTGTAGAAAAATTTGATAGTGTTTGCAAAAATTTGGGAAAAATTTTCTCCTAGAAGATAAGGTCTTTTTTTAATAAATTCGGTCATGCTTAAAATTCAATGGCCCGACATTAATTGATAGGATGGACTACATTTTATAATTAGGCACTTCTGTTTAAAATTAACTTAAGTTCAATTAGTTTCCTTACGCAGATAGGTGTTTTCATGAAAGAGCCTGAGACAGTAGTTCCTTGCAGCAAAATTTAGTTTTAAATATTCTGCTACATTATGAAACATGTTTGATCTACTTTGAGTCACATTAGAAAATTATCTCAGTAAAACGCAGTAAAAATACAATAAACTTACAATAATTAGCTATGTATGCTGCTTTAAGCAATTTTTAAAAGGCTGATCTATTATATTGGTAAGTTACAAATTCATGTAAAAAGCTACAAAACAGAAGGGAATGGCTCGATGTACTATCAGAATCAATAAAGAAGTTTTTTCTCCAGCACAAAATTTGAGTTTGCCTTGAAAAAGAGGCATAAAAGATAAGAGAACTTTAGTAGTTATTCTCATTCTTCTAGTTTGATACTATCTCTCCTCACCTCATTCCAGACTTGGTGGTGCCATCCTGAAGGCACAAATATGACTTCTCCCGGTTCTTGAACAACAGTGAATGATCGGTTAGGAGAAATATCTGAGGCACTAACATCTCCAAGCGTTACATCAAACGCAAGATTTCCACATTCATCCTTCAGGACATGTTCTTCTCCAGGAGGGAACAACAGCCACTTTTTTTTCCCGCAAATGTTAGCTGACCAACTGAATGATGTGAACACATCAGCATGAAGGGGAGTCCTAGAAATAGTGATAATTTTAATGTTCAAATGGATGAAGAGATTTCATACAGGGTGATCTTAAAGTCCCACTTCACCCCTTTGATCCCTTGGGTTTTTGGTCCTTTTTGGGATACAAAAGTCGTTATCTTTGACTGGATAGCACTTATAAAATTTCATCTAAATATCTTCATTTTTCTATCTGAATACATATTTTTTTTTTCTTTTTTCTTTAATAAAAGAAAAAAAAATAATTTGTTCATAAGGTACAAGGGTGTTGTCCAGATGCTTGTAATGTGGGATTTTTGGATAACCCTTCAGAACAAAAAGTATGCTCCATCAAAAGCCAAAATACTATCTGTGCGAGAAAAGTGGAGGTGCAATTTTAAGAGAATAGAGGTACAATAGTTCAACACCATTATCAAACCAGGTTCCGCTAAATCAACCCATAATTTATTTTCAGCAGTTTTGTGGTGTTAATGCTGTGGCCATCACTCAGGGCCATTCTAAATGTTGAAGAAGGAAAAAAATTCAATTTAAAACTTTTAAAATAAGGGATTGACTTCCTGAAATTAAACTGAAAGTAGGAATGCAATACCAGCAAAAATATATTTCAGCCATTGCTCCACCGTCCTAGATTTATAAAAATGTAATCATTATGATGTAAGAAAGCCTACTTGTTCCTTACAAAAATAAAAAAATTTAAGGCACTGTTTTAAAATGTCACCAACAGTTCTTTCCAACCTCCACATTTCTCTATCCTGATTAGAAAACCATACCCCCATATTCCCAAAAAACAAGTAGAGTACAAGCTTAAGCCACCAAGCATCTAGGTTTGAATATATCTTTACATACTAAACACTGTATCAACCTCTACTGAAAACTTTGAATTTGTCTATGAAAAGTTCCATGGAAATGAACTTTGCATAGATTGTATGACAGTATCCACAAAATTCTTCACTGGAACTGAAATTAACTTCCTTCCTCTGAAACATCCAATGAATGAAGTGAACGAAGTTTTTGGCAAAATTGGGACGAGAATGACATTTATTTTCTTCAGTTTTACTTAATACAGCTGCTACTCCATGAATGTTCAGTTAAGAATGACATCAGCACAACTTGTCTCGAGGTGGACTTTGTAAGTAAATAATTTACTTTAGAAACTTAATTTATCAGCTTCAAAACACCAAAGCTTCTGAAATTTTTTTTATAACTTTTCATTTGCCTAGTTACATATTTTAACTATAGTAAATACAAGTTTCAATTCAACATACCAGGTGCCTTTGGGGCCCATGTACACAAATCTATAGTCATCGTCCAAATGAGGATGATCCATATAATACTCATTTAACCAATCGGACGAAAACTGATAAGGCACAACATAAACTGATTCCGTGGGGAAATTCTTCATCAAATGCCAATCCTAAGCAGAGAAAAAAAGTATTTTACTTGAAGAGGAAGGAAACATATGAATTAAAAGCAACAACAATGAAAGTACACTGATTCCTAATGAACAAATCAAAACGTCCATGGCAAAAGTTTAAGAGTGCAGCTTTCACAGCATCTGGAGTCTGGACCATTCGAAAAATTTTACTGAGCTCCGGCTGTGCCTCTACTTTTTTTTGCTGCGCTCTTTTGGAGCACTTACATAATATACACTTTGATTCATGTGATGCTGTAACAACCTCATAATTTTATTGATACTGTAGGAGCAATTTGAGCATGATACAAACGTATCTAGAAGATTAACTGCCAATATTTCTGGCATAGAAAAATTGCAGGAATCACACCTTTTTTAGTAGTACTGTGAATCGTTAGGTTCTTGCAGCTTTGTTACAGTTTTTTTCCTAGAATACTTAAGTACTACTGATGAATAATCATCACACAAAGCGATACAGAGAATGCTCGCTTTTTAAATCAGACGGAAATCTTCCAGGTTACTGAGTGAGGAAACATTTGATTTTCTTGGATTTCTACGGACGGACTAAATCACGCAGAGAAAAAATAAACCCTCCTCTGATGCATTTTACAGACAGGGGTTTGACGTTTTAACTTAGAGTCAGAATCAGTGAAGAATTTTACTTCAATTAAATGTTAAAAGGTTAGGTTTAAAAAGGCTTTAGTTCTGCTTAGTATCTTGTGAGAGAAATCTCATTAACAGTACTCCATTTGAACAAAGGAATAGAAGCCACAAAACTCCCAAAAAGAAAAAAAAAGAAAAAAAAGAAAACAAAAAAACAAAAAAAAAACAGTACTCCGGGGGTAATATTCCACTAAGCAGCAAGTATGGTCAAAAACGAATATCAACACTAGGGTGAGAACTTCAGTGAGCATTTTCCTTTCTTTAGATGAAATTGTATTATTAGTCATTGCAAGTACCTAGTGTAAGTCTTTTAATGTATTCTGATGGAAAAATTCAAAATAAAAGGTCATTTTTTGATTACCATAAATGAAGGATTTGAAGGACAAGGTGCATGAAGTGCAGTTTTTGAAAATATTGAGATACCTAATAATGATTTTAAGTAAAACTAGTCTTGACGCATATTTTCTGAGAAATTTGCATCCCATTTTCCCGCATTCATATGCATCACTAGTTCAGTTTGAACTTTCTTTTTGCCATGAGGATTCATGTAATTTCGAAATTTCAAACACATATTTCTCAAAACAGCAAATACTGCACTTAGGAGCCTTGTCCTCCAAGCTCCCCAATTGGGTTCAAACCTCATTTGTGTAATAACCTTCCGAGTATTTTCAAGGCATGAGACTGACCTTCAGGTACAAACATGCTTCATTTGCAGGCCAACAATCACTTGAGTATTTTTCCCAGTAATTCATGAAGTCTGAGAAGATCATGGACTTTGTTTGATGAGCGTTGTAATATTTCACTTTACAGTCAGAGACAGATACTTGAGCAGACCCTAGAAAAATAGTGAAAGGGTAAAATTAAAGAGATGACAAATTTGATAAAGAACGACAAGAAGAATGTGAGATTTGCAGAGATTCAGACTTAACTTGAAGGAGAAAGTAGCTGCCTTGCCAGAGGAGCTACATTACTGATTGCCCAAGTTTAATGGAAACGGCATCTTCTTTGACTAAAACAACAATATGGATGAAAATCGATGACCAAAGTAGAAAACCACCTGTCTCCGTTTGCGACATTGCAGACTACCTGTCATATTTTAAATTATCTTTTGAAAACTAGTCAACGTAATTTCTGGGGAACTTCCTGGATATTTTTTCTCTGTAAGCAGTACCTAGGCTAAATATTCTGTACAAAGTTCAAGCTATGAAATTGGCTTGCTTCTCTTCAATAAAATAAATGAGTGGCGCAACTTTTGAAACACCGGAATGAAGATACTACACTTCGCACTAAGCCATCAAAAGATTGCTTTATGTGGGGTTGTTTCCTAGACTCATGACACAACTTAGAATACCTATGAGGTTTGGTTTGCGGCAGGAGAGTTTTAAGACAGCTAACGGGGGTTTAAGAAGGCGCTACAACTAGGTATAAATGAGGGGCTTACAGGACAAGATACATGAGTGCACTTTTTGAAAAAATTAAGATTTTCTTGAACTCAACTAAACCTAGTTGGTAAATGTGTTTTGTGAAAAATTTACAACTAAAATCCAAAAATGCATCAAAAAGCGAGTTTAAACTTCATTTCTGCTCTAAGGCTTCATGTAATTTTGAAACATGAAACACGTAAGTATTTCTTGAAATAGCAAAAATCACACATATGCACCTTGTCCTCCGAGCTCCTCAAATTTAATATACAGGAACACTGATGACTTATGTGCATGAGTTTTGCATCTGTTCACTTGACGGCTGTCACTGATTCCAAAATTACTACAAATCTATGTGCAAACCAGGTTACCAATCGATCATCTCAACAAATTCTACACACATGCGCAGCGCATCTTAGGATAAAACAACTTCTGGTCTCTCCTACTTCTACATCTTAGTAAGTAAATTTTGAAGTCACATACATCATAGGCCTCTGATAACATTAATAGGTTGCACTCTGAGATGTAGAAACATTTTGTTAACAAGAAAATAAGTATGGCTCACCAAATTTGTCTTTCAGTAGTGTGAAATTTGGTTTCCCACTGATTGTCCAATGCTGGCTTGAAGTCCAATCCTGAGCACATGCTTTGATAATACATGGCTGATTCTTGACTAAATGTTCCACAAAGAAATTGGAGTAACATTCCACAGGTTGATTGCTGATTGTTTTGAAACCAATTTCATCTTCTACAATCAAAGGATCAAACTCGCTCAGGGCAAAATTGAAGTCACTCTTGTCAATGTTGAGAACTTCCATGATGATACTCGTTCATTATATTCCTGAGACATATTAATGCAGAAAGTTTGTCAATGTGTAAACTTCAAGAATCCAAAAGAAGGCCAGTGAATTTGTAAAATATGAAGGTTCTTTTGGATAAACTTCAGTGCATAACCTAAATTTTGATAGCAGGCTTGCAGCAGGGTTACTATTCCGCCTACGCAGCCCAGATGGCAAAGTACGCAACATTACATAGCAAAATTTCCCAATTACACACGCTACTGCAATAAAAAATTGTCAAAATTCGCAGCAATTACGCAGAAAATTGTCGAATTACACAGTCTAAGTCAAATTATGCACAAGATTATCTTGACTACCCACGATCGGAAGTTTTCGTTTCTTCTGTAAATTAGAGTTCTAGAAGCAAAGTTAGAGACATTCCTTCTGGACAAAACATTATCTTTACCATGACCTTTTAGAGATGTCGTCAGCTAAGTTGATGGTTGTTTACTTTCCGTTTGCAGGCGTTTTTGCGTCACAACTATCCACATGAAAACATCTGGCTCTCTTAGAAGCAAGAACACAAGCTTAGATAAGTTTTTTAATACTAACTAGTAACTTTAATTTTTAGCCACAGAAATCACAACCACAAAAAAGTCGCAAATCATAACTGATAAGTAGTTTTTTTACGATACGATCATGAGACTGATGTTTTCAATAAGGATAATAGCAAACAGCGCTTTGTTCAGAGGCCCAAATTCGTCATTGGCGCTTACAAACCGAAAGTAAACAACCGTCAACTTAGCTGACAACACCTCTACCAAGATCGACAAAACATAAGTACCAAACCTAAAAACCGAGCCAAAAAAAGGAATGTTAAAGAACTTCAATCACGCACGAATCACACAGAGTTCTCCAAATTACGCAGCATTACACATTGTGCAGCGACCCTCCATTGATGCAAAACGGTGACACTGGCTTTCCGTCAGACATGCATTGAGGCAAGGAAGTTGATTACGATATCCTACCACTGATTAATGGTACGCACAAATTGAAACTAAAGAATGGCTAGACCCTGCTGAAAAAAGCTCGACTTGCATACAGCTTGAGTTTAGAATACAAATTTTTTTCGACTTAAAGTCGGATTTAGAGGGTAGGTTTCCGAACTTGCAGTTGCCCGTAAATCAACAAGATTTGAGCCCATTTCTACAAACTGAAGACACACAAAATTGAAAATAGTAAAAGTAAGCTTACCGATGAGGTGTGATGGATAAAGCCCATGTTAGATTCAATTGTTAGAAAAATTCTTTACCGAAACAGCATGCAGCATGAGCAGCCTACATTCTGAAATTCGAGATGATAAGTTCCTGCTCTCTGATTGGTCTTTGAAGTTATTTTGTACCATATTAAATTTATTTTGATTGGTCAGTTCCGTTGCTTGGTGTTACCGGTTGTGATTGATGATTAGTCACCTGATTGCGTCATCACAATCTAATCATTTGTTTTGATTCAGGAGCATGGAACGTAAACACTACACGTCAAATTCAGAATATCAGTGATTTTTTTGTAATTAGTGCGGTCCTTGTAATTCCATTAAATTTTATAGTGAAACCTGAACTATAGTACACTTTTTATAGTGGTTAATCTTTTTAGCGGTGGTTTGTCACCATGGCTGAAGTGGACTCTCTGTACAATCAAACCAGTCGGCTCATTCAGGAAACGCAAGAACACTTTTACAGATTGGATAGAGCCAAACATTCCATTCCAGAATTTGAAGCAATTGAAGCTGAGATCAGGACTAAAGTGGACATCATTGCGAGGTACTGCAATTGAGATTAAATTTGCAAGCGCAGAGTTGGGTTTCACATGTGAGCCCAGCTCACAGGATCTCTCACATTTATCGCAGCTATTCTCATGTTATTTATCAAATTTTTATTTCCTGATTTCAAATCAATGATGGCACTGCTCATGCGATGCTGTAATTTTCCATATTTACACTCACGTAAAGCTAGGTTCTTTTTGCAAATTTGGGCATATCAGTTGCAGACATATATTAAGTACTGCATGTACCTACCTACTGAAGAAAGAAGTTTATAACACCAAGTTTGAGCTCTAAATTCCATTATTTAATGTTTGATTGATCTTATTTTCTCTCAACTGAGAGACACCTATGAATGGACATAAACTTTTAAGGTGTTTCGTCAAGCTCAAGTGACGTTGCCGAACTGGCATTCCATATATTGCACCGATGGGGTCAAAATTCTTGGCAGATTTTGGATTTTTAACCCAATAATCGAACATTATTCCCTGCTTACAAACCTGAAGAATCATTCTCAACTCAAAAATTGGCCCAATTCAGAGAAATGAAAGCAGATAGTGTTAGGAGAAAAACCTAGCATTCGATACTGCTATCGATTTCTGTGCCGTATGCAAGGTTTTCTTCCTAACACTATTCTGCTTCCATTTCTCTGAATTTGGAAATTTTTGGGTTTAGAATGATTCTGTAGGCTCAGGGGCAGGGGCAATTGTGCTATTTTTTACAAAAAATCCAAAATCTGCTGAGATTTTTCACCTAATTGATGCAATATATGGCATGCCAGTTGGACCACTTCCAGTGTTCAAAACTCACCTTAGAGTTTCAGGAGCCATGTGGCCCATCAAGCTCAATTTTTAGGGGCCACTGAAGATTTTTTAGGGGCCAAATTGACTCTTTGCTTACATATCACGGCGCATTTTGTGAAAAGTCAGACGTAAAATGTTTTAGTTACAGAACTAGTAGCTGTAATTTGTAACTTTTGAAAAATCACTAAACAGAAAAATTAGGATTTTTTTTTTGGAGAGGGGTGGGCAATTTTTAGGGGCGACGTTGGTGCCGAGCTCTCATTTATTAGGCGGCAGGACAGATCTTTTAGGCGCATTTGGTGCCAATGAGTTTTAAACACTGACCATGTCACTTGAGCTTGACGAATCACCTTGAACAGGATTCTAAAAAACAGGCAACTGTTTACTTACCATTTTTGTTTCTGATGTTCTGGAAACTCCAGTAATTATATCAGAATATTCTGAGATTGATAATTATGATACTGTTGATACATGACTTATTTTGTGTTTCAGAAATTGCAACAGGTTAGATATTTTATGCCACAAAGAGCCTGTCTCAAGGAGAAGACATCTAAGCATAAAGATTGAACAGTTGAAGTACGATCATCGGCATATTTCATCTGCTCTCCAGTCTGTGCGGTATGAGTGGGACCGAAATTTACAAGAGCAACGGCAACGGGAAGAACTTCTACAACAGAGTTTCACTTACAATCGAAACTCAGATGCAACAACGATATTAGTGGATCATTCAATTCATCATCAAAATTCTTTACAAGTACGTATTCAAGTTGTTCATTGAACAATGTCTCCTGCAAAAACTGATCACCAATTGGTTTAACTCAGATCGTTGCTAACAAGATAAAAAAAGATCAAGTCCAGCTTTTATCTAAATTATTTTCCATGGGTGTATTTAGAACCTCTCATCATTTCGTTATGGCAATTCAGCGTTATCATATTTCATCAAAATGATCCACTTTTTACTTCAGTTAGTCAGGTTTGCAGAATTTTGAAGCCTCCACATTTTCACACCCTCTCCTGCCCATTTGCCACATTTTCTCATACTTAGGCATGCCACAAAATTTCTGAGAAGATGACGGTTTTCTCTATTCCTCCTTTGACTCTTGACCTCTAAAAATTGTCTGTCGCTCCATGCTGTTCGAGCCTTTTTACATTTTCACATGCACTCTGAGTGCGTCATCCGTCATTTTCTGCACCCCTGAAGATGACTTGGATGCCTGCCATGTTCTTTTGCCAACTTGCACCTGGCATTATGTGTACAATGTGACAAAAAAATCAAACTCAAGGGCGTAAGGAGGCTTAGTGCTCTGGTCAAAAAATGATAGGGTGCTAGTCTAATATGGCATCTAAAAAGTTAGCATAGCCTCTATCAGCAATACCTCACCCTTCCACTCAAAATTGCATGCTTCATGGTGGTGAAAATTCGCATGACCCCTAGAAAATTATAGACAGTATTTAAGGTAAGAATTAAATAAACTCTTAAGTAAAAGAGGGATGTTTTTAGGTTCAAATTTGATGGCTATTTAAGTACCTAGAAAACACCCTGTTTTTGTCAAGCACACGAGAGATGGGCATCAAGACTCCTCTGCATTACCGATTCTTTCGACTAGAAAATTCCAGGCACCATTCTATACGTGTGATTGTTCAAAGTATAAGGAACCTTAGACAGAGTATATCAGAATCGACTTGGTTTTTTCTATTTTTTTTTTTAAAAAAAAAAAAGGGGTTTAAAGAATATTTGGTACAGCAAACACCTAAAATTTCTAGACCTATAACCACAGTTATTGCAATTTTAAGTTTGCAATTAAAAAAACGAAATTTTGATGAAGCTTCTTTTAAATTTTTAATTTGTCATATTTTAAGCTCAGAATTGATTGATAGGTAATATTTCTTCACCTACAAATAAATTTAAGTCTTTAATGTATTTTTTGGGATAGACAGTAATTTTTGTTGAAAACTGGAAGTCCAGTTTTTTTCACCTAGCTGGACAAAAATTTGATTATGTACTTCCTGCAATCAGAAATTATTATTTCAGGGTTATTCATGGAAGCACCTATCTACATTGGGAAATGTGTGGCCTGTACGTTTTTTCTAAAATGATACAGAAATAGTAGCTCCTTATTGCAAAATGTAGTCCAAACGTCTTCCTTTCTCTAAGGTCTCTTTAGCTGTAAACGATTACATTCGTTATAGGGGTGGTTAGAAATACAGAATTGAAATTTCCCCACCATAAGCCCTCACTGAAGAAAATCATCAAATTTGTTTTCTCTTTCAGAATGCCAATAGAGGAGTAGACGATCTCATCAGTTCCGGTTCCAGTATTTTAGATAATCTACGAGATCAACGCAACACTATTAAAGGGGCTCACAGGAAAATTCTGGATATCGCCAATACTCTAGGCTTGTCTAATACCACAATGAGATTCATTGAAAGGAGGCGGACTGAGGATATGTATATTCTATTTTTGGGCATGTTTATAACTTTAGTCATTATTTTTTTAATTATTTATTACTTTTAAAATGCCTGTCCTCGGCTGATTTTGAAGGAAGTTTTTTCAATGGGGCTCTATTTGAATTGGACGGATTTGACACTAATCACATTTTACCTAACTGTATTTCATGTTGCATGATTCCCTCTCATGTTTAATTTTTTTAACAGAGAACTAGGCCATGAAACTTCTTTAAACCCTCTACGAATTTACCTGTGACTCTGAAGAGAGTGCTCATAAAATTTCAAGTTTCAATTTTGCAGTGTTCTGCTTAAAAAATTACATGTAAGAGAAAATAGGCAATGTCTGATTTTGTTAGGCTGATTTATTGACAATTAAATACAAATTTGAAGGCTGCTTCAATTTGTGATCAGTGCATAAAGACATCTACATTTTGTTTGTATTGTCGGTAATTCCTATTCATTTATTTGTATAATTTATATAATAGCAGGCGTATCGGTAAATCTGTATTGTTACAAAATTTAGTCTCAAGGTTGAACACTTGTTAAAATTTTAAAGGCATGTTATTTGGTAAATCTGCTGTCTGCATTAAAAGGTACTGTTAATTTTGCAACAGTGTTCCTTTTTAATGAAAGCACCGCCCCATCAGCTGTTCACAACAGTATCTGCATCCAAGCTTTCATCAACAAACATTAACCGCACTCTGTCAAAGTAAAGTCACATCAATACCAGAAATTCAGTCATAGACATGTGGAATCATGTGATTCAAGCTCCTTTAAGGTAATATTTCCCAGTCCTGTGAGTGAATCTGGTGAAAATTCGAAGTTCATTTTAAATTGCTCGTGTAACTGTAAGCAAAGTGTTCAATGAAACGGCACAGGGATGTTCCTCAAAAATGCCAAGAAAAAGTTGATGGCAAAGAGGCAAATTTTTCAGTTAATCAAAAGGAAAAGTAAGTCGCCTATGTCTTGTCCACAACCTAGTGATGCGAAGTGGGAGAAAATGCATGCTAGCATGAACCATGAGGGGAGAAATGGGCCAATCGACAAAAACCTGGGAAAGGATTCAAAGAATGAGCTACAAGCCCTTCAAAATCAGGGAGGCAACAAAATTGTCTCTGAAAAAGAGCTAGACATCAAGATTTACAATGAAAAACCGAAAAAAAATGACCAGTTTGACGAGGAACCCATCAGTAAATCGCCCAGTAAAATTATAAATAAGTTAAGCGGCAGTAGTATCATAATTGTGTATGAAAATAGTTTAGGTACCAAAACTAGTTCCCGAACAAGTCAGCTTGAGGTCAAAGGGTCAGGCAGCAGTGTCAGAATTTTGTCCAACCTGGTGAACCACCGACACTGCAGTGGCGATGTAAGTTGCACTGGATTAAATCTCACCTCCAGCTCATCCAGTAAAAGTTTGGACGCAGAAATTAACAACAACCTCCAATCATCACCCAAAAATCATGAGAAGAAGATTGTGATCCAGTGTTGTAGATCAAAAAAAGACAAGGCCAAAGAAAGTAGACATGAGGGAAAGAAACAGAAAACAAGGATGAAACTGATACCGCCAGAAGAGTTATCAGAGCCAAAGTGTGTGAAAATTGTGAAAAAAGCTGTCACTAGTGACGCAGATTTGACGCAAGATCTGAGTAACATGATGACAGGGGGCAGATTAATGCAAACTTTGAACTCTTTCCTCGGGGCTGACCAATCTAACTATGTCGAAATAATTCAGAGAGTGAACGGCTTGAAGCAGCACAAAATTTTGCTCTTTAAGCGTCAGATAGAAAAATGCAAGAAATGTAAGGAAGAAGAGTTTTGTGGGACTGTCAATTTAAAGCCAGAAAGTAACATTGTCAGATTAACTGTTAAAAGGACCGATAAAAATACTAAAAGAACCACAGAGGATTCCTCTCAAAAATCCACAGATTTTAATCCCTCACATTTATCAAAAAAAAACTATCTGACTGGTAATGCTAATGAATTTAAAACTAATGGAAGAAAACCTCTTCAACTAAAAAACCTAATTTCTCGAGCCAGTGATATCAATGTTCTTTTGGCGTCAACCTTGAATGAGCTCACAGGAGGTCTAAACGCCCAAAGCAATTATACAAAATCAGAAAGACACGAGAGCTCAAGTAACAATGCCTCAGCTGAGATCATGGGAGGTATTTCTGACATCAAGGAGAGTATCCATGACATTTGCTGTGAAAAAAGCATTGTACGAAACTCAGAATCAGACAGTAAAGTTAGTGTTCACTCTCATAAAAGTATTCTCAACTCGCATGATAAAAAATCAAAAGAAAATACAAAGCTTTGTGAAAGAGATAGTTCTGTGAATGTTGTGTGGTCATCTAAACCTGCTAATGACAAAATTTTCAAGAGATCTTCGCATGCGGAAGAGAATATGTTCACAGGAACAAAAAATGGGCTTAATGAAACAGTTGTATTTGGAGAGCTGCGGCAGAATTTGAGCAAGGGAGACAGCTTGGCAAAAGAAATTTTAGACACTGCACCTTCGACCAAAATATCGAAGTGCCCGAAAAGTGCATCAGGAACAGACAAAAACAGATCAACAAAAAAAAGTGAAGATGTCCTTACTGTCTCGCTTTTAAGTGCAGGAAATGGGTCTTTCCCAGGTTTAGAGGCTCCTGAGATATTTGTGGCCAACCATGTGTATTTGCCTAATTTACAAGACGACACTACTTTTTTGCAGTTTTTTGACAAACAAGGGCTGCCAAAGATGGGAGAAAATAATTTTTTCTCTGATCCTTTGATGCAGAGCATGAAAACCGGATACTATAATCTGAAAAAATCCTACGCTGCTTCAATTACCTTACAGAAACTGGCCAGTGTGGAGAGTTTTCAACAGGTAGCAGCGAGTCCAAAACATTCTACAGTCCTAACCTCCATAAGGTCAAAGATGGACGTAAAAGAGGAAATTGTAAGTGTCACTACATCAGAGGAGAGTATGGTAAGCTCAGGTCAAAGTTTGAAGAAAACCTCGAGGCTCATCGATGTAGAGAAACATTCCTATGTAGAGAAGAATAATGATTATTTAAAATTAGACTTCATGAATTTTAATTTCAACAAACAGTTGGATACACTAATAGCCCCTACTCCAAAATGTTTCAAACATGGAAAGCAGCAAAAAGAGCGGCTTGGAAGCGTTGAAGATGTGAAGAGAAAGAAAAAAGCTGCCTTTTGGGGTAGAAAATTTATTCATTTATCTGCCCCTCCCTGTAGAATGAAAAAATCAAACCACCGTCATTGTCATAAACTTGTTTAAATGCTCTTGTCTAAATACCCTAGGCTGCAAGCAAATCACGAAAGAAGAATTAAAAAAATGACAAACCTAAGTCTGTGTTAATTTGTTTTTTGTTCCTCAGCAACCTAAAATCCTATTTATGTAATCAACTTAATAGATTTCATAGTAAATTTCAGTAAAACTCAAATTTGAGGACTTGGATGCAAACACAACACATCTCTGTTACGGCGTTTTAGAATTGACACCAATATGTTTTTCCTCTTTTTTTGTGTGAAAAAACTACTGAATAGGTAACTGAACTTGAGATTTATGCTCAAGGTATATCATTAAATAGATAGTATTCAGCAAAAAGGAACCAGTGTGATTACAATGTTTTAAAAGTCATACAACTTCTTCTTTTCGTATAAAAATGCTTAATATATGCACTGTATTAAAACATATGCAATTAGTTTCCTTTGAAATCAACGCATTTTTTCAGAAGCAAAAACTATTTGCTATTCTGGGAGATTTTTTGGATAATTATGAAGAAGCAACATTTTTACAACACTGTAATTACCCTGGTTCCTTTCTGCTAAGTGCGATACGAATTATGAAGAATATAAAGTCAAATTAGCACTCTCCCCCAAGCATTTTTTTCTCTGTTAAGACGCAAAATGTCAAAGAAAAATCTGAAATACTGAAATCAAGAAGTGCCGTTTTTGCTCACTAGTTATTAATTGCATATCGCCGCTACATAGAGGAGTATTTTACAAACATTTTTTTAATAAACATCTGAAAATGTTAAACATTGGAACTCCTGCATGGAGCGGAGGCAAGAACCTTGATTGAGTTGCCCCACTTACATTTTTTTTTCTTCCTCTTTTTTTGAAGACAATTGAATTAATTTTCTTGGAATTTCTTGTAACTCTCCTTTATCTTCGTGAGAAAAAACTCTAACATTTTCAGACTTTTTGCAATAGTTCTCCTAAATAAAATGAAATATTCATAGAAATACTTGAACAGCGCTACAGGCTGATTATTGAAATTTAGAGACAAGGGAGACGAAGAGATAACGAAGTGAACATATTGGTCGAAACAGGTGGCTGTTTTAAACCAAAGAAGAAAATAATGGACTGACTGTAGGGTCCCTTGTGAATTTTCGGTAACCAGACTTTCACTTACTGATTCTAGCCACTTGCTCTCACTACTAGGATCTCTCCGTTTTCGATTTCTCTTTTTTGTCTACCAATTTCAATAATCAGCCCGCAGGCAAGGTATGTTTATCCCTGCATCCGGGATGCAATGAAGTCTCTAATGGAGGGGTTTAAAAAGTTCAGGATCACAAATTAAGTTTAATAGAAAGTTCTCAGGATTGTCAAAAAAGCTTAGATGCAATCCAACAGATTAATAATTCCTATAAATGAAATTGAGTCAAATAGGAAATCACCTATCTTGCAAGTAAATTTTGCTCCATGAATAGATTTCTTCTCCAGTAAACATGGAAATAAATGAACGGTCTGTGTTAATATCAGAAAGATTTTAAAGGCTTAGGGGTATAATTTTATCAGAATCACAAGGTTTACACGTTTATATCAGTCGTTTAGTTTTTAAAGCATAACTAACCCATCAACATACTCAATTTGGAATTTTTGAATAATGCAAACAGATTTTGCAGTCAGAGAAAAAACAATTTTTTAAAAAAAAATTAATAAATGAACTCCTCTCCAATTACTTTTAAAGTTGAGCAGACTTTTCATTTCATTGGGCAGTCAAAGCACCACAAATTAAACCAATTCTAGTTCAAGGAGGCATGTTCTAACTTTTTCTCGGGTGAAATGTCGCGAAATTGTATTTAGTCCTATTTTCCTTTTTACGGAAAAAACAAGCATGGTCCCAGATTCTAAAAGTGTCGCAGCGATTTAAGCGTGCGTCCTACCCTCCAGGGCTACCAGGCGGTCAAGACATCTTCGCAGTTTGACGTGCCTTCAATCCGGCGAAGCTGCAACATGCTTACAGCCGTGGTCGAATAGTTGTATGTCCACGCCTGCCGTAAACGAACTCAAATATCGATGGTTCCACGCGAAAAGGAGCTTATTTCCCTCGATTGCAACGTTGCAAACCACAGTTAATGCTTCAATTTTAATCAATATTTTTGAAAAGTCGTCGCATAGATTCTCTGAAAAATGTTCAATTATTTTAGGAACGATTTTAATTGAAATCACGGGAAATTTCGTCGCGAAATCATGTTTAGTCCTATTTTCTTTTTTTCCCCTTCACGGAAAAAACAAGCATGGTCCTTGATTCTAAATCGTAGCTATTCGGCTAGTTATTTTTGCTTTTTACGGTGAAAATTAAACGGGAGTCATG